CGCCCGCTCCGCACCGCAAGGCCGCTGCGGCGTGTGGCTCATCCCCTCGTGATCCATGTGCGGTGCGGCTCTGTCCCGCCCCCGCCGCCCCCGCCGCCCCCGCCCCAGAGTCAGCACCTCCCCCACACAGCAAGGACGGTCGCGATTTCACGGCCAAAATGCGTGCGGTGCGTCAACCCCTGCCCCCCCCTTCCCTATTTTATTATAATTAAGCCCCCGCGACCAGATGAAAGGCATAAAAGAAGAAAAAAGACAACCGCGGGGAACGGAATGCTATAAAAAGTGAATAAATTGCCGTTGCCGGGGAATCGTTTCGGTGATCCGTGGCGACTTCATAACTGCTTTATAATCGCCGTGTAAATAGGAGGTTTTAGCCTGCCCGCGGCTGCCCGCCCCTCCCACTAAACCCATCCTGCTGCCATCCGACGAAATACTTTTGGGGGGAAAAGGAGGTGGGGGGCGTCTCGCTTAAATTTTTATATTGCGAAATATAGGAAACGACGGTGCGCTTGGTCACGGTGCTGCGCGGAGACCGTGAGAGATACTACGGCAATGTTTGTTGCGCGGAAATTTTCATGAAACGGTCTGCGGAAAGTTTTGGTGCGCAACAACACACCGTGTCGCTGGATGGGGCACGCCGTTACGGGGGGCGTCATTCTCATCAGGAGGGAGAGGAAAGGATGTCGACCGATGGAGAGGAAGAGAGAGCGAGATGACGATGATGCCAAACGAAGATCATCCTCAGGGCGCCAAGTTTGGCCGTTTGGTCCTCAGTTTGGGTGATGCGATGCCCGGGGCATGACGAGACTGCCGCACTGGCGGTGCTCGCCGAGATGCTCGCGGGGGAATGTCGCGCCGGGGATCCATATCGGGGTCGGGGGAGCCAGGAGGGCTGCGGGGTTGGATACTCACTGTTGCTCAGCTTGTCCCTCCAGACGAGCGGGTTGCTGACGAGGCCCTGCAGTCCCGGCCAGTAGATGCCGGAGCGCGTGGTGAGGTCGGACAGCGGGTGCTGGTGCGGGTGGTGTCCTGGGTGCGCCGGGTGGCCGCCGCCGGCGCCGTGGTGGTGCGGGCCGCCGGGGTGCTTCCCCATGGCCGCGGCCGCGACGGCCGCCTGCTGCTGCTGCTGTTGCTGCTGCTGGAAGTAGCTGGCCGCGGCCATGTTGGCCGCCATGTTGGCCGCCGCCATGCCCGCCGAGACGCTGAAGCCGCGGGGCAGTGAACCTGGAAGCAGAGGCGGGGGGCTCAGGGGGCGCGGTCCAGCTGGAGACCTAAACGGTGGGCGCGGCGGGGCGGGCGGAGCGCAGGTGGTGGCGGCCGTCACGGCCGGGACGAGGAGCTCGTCAGAGTTAATTACGCGCGCATAGCAGGCCGGGGGCGAGGGGAGCCGCTAAGAGGCTCACGAATGACCCCGCGCGGCGCTTATTGATACGGCGAGATTGGCTGGGCGGGGACCGCGGACCCGACCCCGTGTGCGGCGTAGTGTACACTGCCAAGAGCAACATAGCAACAGACCCGCGTGGCTCTTGCCACATGAGAAGGGGTGGCGGGGTGGCTGACTCTATGGGTCGGTCGGTTCAGAAAACAAACATCGGCAGAAAACAGGATAGATAAACTGGCTGGCTCGCTGTGGGTAGATGAACGCAACGCGAAATTTCGGATCATCGTGATGAATTTATCCGTCGCCTTGATTTTTCCTCGGCTGTTATCGTTTCTCCTCGTGTTTGTCGGCGCTGCCCCCGCGGCGGCGCGGGTGACAACGGCCCGGCGGCCGGATTAAATATGTTAAATGTTGCGCCATCAATCTGCCTGACGCCGTGCTCCGGATTACACCCCGC